TCAACCGGGTGGACCCAAAGAGCTGGTTCAGATGTGTTCGAATTTCTTCACGCTAGGGATGTTCATTTGGGGGGTTTTCCCTAACCGACAAATGAAAGTCGTTAACCGATCATTAAAAGTGTGTTAAATTTGAATTAAAATAATTTAGAATTTATAAATGTCTGTGACCCATTAAAAATAACAAAATAATTTTTTTATGGGTTTCGTTTTTAGCAGCATAATAACAGAAAATTAGGATTCACACATCGTCACATCACGCATCTGCAGATATTCAGTGAATAGAGAAAAAATGAATAAAATTATATATGTATAGACGTTATCCTCCAGAGAAACATGGCCATGTATGTTTGCTAGCTTCCAAATTTGCACACTATACACCTACGGTTTCTTTGCTCTAATGCTTCACAATGCCTTAAATGTCAAACTGTGCCTAAAATGTGCCGAAATTATGGTAGCTTGTCAGATTAAATTTATGGTACATTGATATTTTTCATACAATGCATCTGTAAGGTTCACTGACCAAGATTTCACAACAGTTGCTAGACAAACTTCTTTAAGAACCACTCAAAAATGGCTTTTTTTTGTTACATAAAGTGGTAAAATTTTGTGAAATCTATTTGGAATGGTATTATCAAACAATGAAACCATCGCTTGCTTTCTGTTGCATCAGTCTGCACGTGTTTTGAGGGAGTTTCAAAGTTGATTTGTGCATAAACGAAACTCTCTAATCCAGATAGCATATATATAGTAAAGGAAACTGTGACGCCTGAGACAGGAAATGGTGATAAACTTCCTCTGAATTTAGACTCGCTTACTATCACTTACAATCATCACTATTCCGATCATAACACCTGATCTAATCTGCTGCTAAACCAAAAACATTGTTGCATAACTCAATGTTTCAAACCCTAGTGAGCAGGGTTTCTCTCTTCATAGGTAGCTTCTTAGTTAGGCATCCTAACAGTAGAATTATCATTGATCTGAAAAACTCTTCCTAGGCCGCAACTCCATTAATGATCACTCATTTGTACAACTGTGCTCCACCACTTAAGCCGCAAGCTTTTAGCTACTTGTGTAAAAATGGCGTAAAGTGAGGATGCTTTCAAAAATAATGTCATAAATAGATGTTATTTCTCAATTAACTTCTATTGCGTTTAAAACAGCTTGTGTCCTTGGTACACTTGCACATAGTTTTCCATGTAGCTTTGCAGGTAAGCGTCTTGGAGACGTCGCAACAGGTCTTCTGGATTTACTCTGTCTCAGTTTTTTTATGTGATCACAGACAGACTCAATGATGGTGAGATCAGATCTCCATTTTCAGCATACTGGCTGTTGTTACCGCCACAGAATAAAACATTTTAAAAGATTATTGCTACTTTTTATCTCACAAATGCAAGATATAAAGTCACAATTGCGAGAAATAAACTTGCAATTCTGCCTTTTTTTCTCGCAATTCTGACTTTATAACACGCAATTGCGAGTTTATGTCTCGCAATTCCGACATCTTTTCTCAGAATTGTGAGATATAAACTCGCAGAGTTATAAAGTCCAATTCTAAGGAAAAAAAATACTTTTTTCCTCAGAATTGCGAATTTATATCGCACAATTCTGACTTTATATCTCCCAATTGCAAATTCATTTCTTGAAATTGTGACTTTAAATCACGCAATTCTGTGGCGGAAACAAGCTGTCAGACTACTTGTGCATAGAAAAATTTCACTGGATTATTTAAATGAATGGCAAAAGGAATGTTTGGAAAGGTAAACTGATATTTCCTAGTCTACTGACACACTACAGCAAAAGATACAAATAACTGGCTTAAAACCATTTGTTTTTGGTGAAAATACTAACGTGCCTAAGACTTTTTCACAGTATTGTGTATGCTAAATGAAAACGAGTCGATACAAAATCCAGATCACATGAAACACATCACATTAAGTTAATATAATACTGCATGTGCTGGACTGAATACATCCAAAAACGTTACATCATCTCCTCTAGAGCTGTCCTTTAATGTTTATCAAAGGCCGCCAAGAGCCATTTGTCATTCAAATTGTCTTAATATGGTCTTAATAAAATAATGACGTCTTCTTTCCTGGCCTCATGTACACAAAGGACTATTTTCAGAGTCTGAAAATGATAATGCAAGCATGAATTCTGAAAAACACTTCATATTTCATGTCCCTAACAGCAATATTCCTGTATTTGCAGTGGTTGAGCAACAGTCGGTATAGTGATGCTTGCCTTAGCAAAGATGAGGAATGCCTTTTTAAAAATCAAGGTTGTGCTGTTTCGGCTTCAGTGATGGCCGTGTTAAAGGAGAACTCCGGTCAATTTTAACATTTAGCTCATTTTTTTGTACATTTGGAGTGCTGTCAGTACAGACAAAAACGACTAAAATCGGTGTTGCCTACACCGTGTTATCCTCTTTTTAAAATTCGCACCCTGTTGACTTCAATGGGGCAAGTTCTAAACCTGCTTTTAGCCTCTTAACAACCTTAATGTGTCATTGCAAGTGCACAGCCATGTGAGTGGTGTTATTAAGAGTGACCACGGTCAATCTGACTGCAGTAGATGTGAAAGATATTAATAAAAATGATGTCAATTGTCGAGTTTGCGCGCACGATCATTGGTAACTAATATAACTAATGATCGCGCGCGCGAACTCGACAATCGACTACTGTGGACTTCGAACGAAAACAGGAAGTAAATACAGGTATGTGAGCTGGCTGAATTAACATCATTTTTATTCATATCTTTCACATCTACTGCAGTCAGATTGACCGTGGTCACTCTTAATAACACCAATCACATGGCTGTGCACTTGCAATGACACATTAAGGTTGTTAAGAGGCTAAAAGCAGGTTTAGAACTTGCCCCATTGAAGTCAACAGGGTGCGAATTTTAAAAAGAGGATAACACGGTGTAGGCAACACCGATTTTTGTCGTTTTTGTCTGTACTGACAGCACTCCAAATGTACAAAAAATGAGCTCAATGTTAAAATTGACCGGAGTTCTCCTTTAAGTTTCCATGTCGTGCGTGACACTTCTAATTTAAGGTGGCAGAAGCTTAGCGAAAAAACACTAAATGTGACTTAAGCTTTAAAAGTGACAGACGCTTCAGCACAAGAAGCCACATAATCAAAGATTTGCAGAAGTGGTGAAATTCCCCCCAAATCCTGACTGAAATAAATTTGAGCTTCTTTTCACAGCTGACATATTTGGATCATGCAGCTTAGTAATAAGCGACAGAAGGAGGACGAAAAAAAAACATAAGCTTGCTTCACGCAGAAAACTGCCTACTCTGAGGGTTTCTACAGACTCATCACTTTGAGAGACAAACTTTGCTGTGACAGTCGCTATTAACCAAAAGTAATAATTATAGGTATTGGGAAGTGTGCAAAGAAGAAAGTGAAAAGAAGTCTGTATTTTTGGGATGTAAAAACTTTCTGAAGTGTTTTCTTAAGGTTTGCTCTGCATATGGCGGTTAACAATCATGCCTTTGGCAACTAGCAGCTCCTTTGTGAATGATGACATCATTATTTGATTGACAGCAGGAGATTCCTGTCAGACCAGTGCGTAGACACTGCAAACACTTAGCATTACATGATCCTTCACTCTTTCCCTCAGAAGTTTGCAGATAAGGATCGGCATTTGAGTAACACGCTCAACATACAAATAAATCAATAAAACAATTATGACGTACATAAAATTGTGTTTTATTATTGGTTTAAAAAAAGCTAACTTCAACACCTATTTAAAAAATAATCTTATAAATAATAGAGTGCAGCATTGTGACGTATTTTTCTTGGCCAACCCGAAGTTCGCATCACCACGGTTCCCTCGACAAAAACCCAATAGGATTTTTCCATTGGCTTTTGGATTATTGCAGAAATTAAACTCTGTGACCAACAAATGTTTATGATTCCTATACTTTTCGTTCATCATGATGATCTTCACAAATGAACACAACTTTAATGAAGCCTAAATACAATCACCATAAGTAGAAAGCTAAAGTTAGGCTATTAACGAACTACACCATTTATTTATTTTTTATTCCCTGAAAGTTTGAGTTTGAACGGTTTGCAAGAGCGGAATTATAAACACAAAGATGCTGTGAAAGTGAACTAGCGAGTAGATGAGTTCACCTGTTCGGCTGATGATGTTTAATGTCCCCGACAACCTCTATAGTCCCATTTAGCCACTTGTTAGCAACTGCCTTTTTCAAGACACGTAACAGATTTAAAAACTCACAATGGCGCAATCCTGATGTATTTGATAGCGTAGAATACACTGTGAAAATACCTTGAGCTTGTGTTCACCACAGACCTTATTTCAGGTATCTAACCAAAAACCAATAAAAAAAACCCATTGACAACGGGACGATGGAACAAGAAGTGCTAAAATGCTAACTCCGGGTTGCTAATTTTCCAGGTGTTGTCCGGAAAAAAAGGCAGAGCACTATAATCACTACAAATAAAATGACCAGTATGCATTGATTAAAGCATAAAAAGTGTCAAATAAATGAAAAACAACACCGGTAATGGAGGGATTTAGGTGAGTATATTTTGTTGGTGCCCACGCCAAGGAACACTGCAAATGAAAACTCAATTTGACAACAATGAATGTTTTTACTAGCCAACTACATGGTGCAAAATGAGTACTCGACAAGTTCGAGTGTGCGCATTCCTTAAATGGTGACATAACAAAAAATCTGTCAGTACACAACATTAATCATCAAGGCCTCTGATTCAATTGGACAGAAGAAAAAAAAAACACTCAGACAAGACAGAGCCGAAAGGGAAATTAAAAGAGAGAGAGAGAAACGTGTAAAGTAAATGTGAGGGAATGACAGCATAACGCAGGAGTGTGTTTGAGAATCTGTGATGTAAGAATCGCCATCTGCTGGTATAAACCAGAACCGATACGTCCCAGTCCCTGTCCTGCAGATCAGACCTCAGTTGCCCAGCGTAATCTCAGGAAATGCTGATGTTCTGTACCTGTGAGCAGAGACACCCTGTGGAAGGTGCCGTCCAGCTTGCTCAGGAGGATGTGGACGAAGCTGTCTTTGGAAAGCTGACCGGCGTCTTTAGTGCTCTGATCGTACACCACCACCTCCTGTCTGCGGGCCAGGTCCACCTTGAGTGCGCAAACACACAGGAACATATCAGTTAGAAGTCATAGATAGAAGCTGCAATGCAAACCTGCATCTGGCTATTTTCACAATATAGCAAGGCTGCCATGATGACATTGTAGCAAATGTTACATATAAAAAAAGCTAAAAATAATATTAATGACACATATCATTTATATAATCAGATACAACAATAATATATAAAGTGAAATGTATTGTTACATGCACGTGTATTAATACTGTAGTACATACGTACATTCAATAAGACAATGATGAATAATATATTACATGTGTAATTAGAAAAATTAATAATATATTAGACAATATTAACTATTTACAATATTTGATATTTATTATTTATAATATTTACAAGCATCTAAGAATTGTGAATATATATTATAAAACACAATATATTATTTAATACAAGCAAACACACACATACATACATACAAATATATATATATATATATATATATATATAGAGGGTTATTATTAATAACTATATTGTTAACTATAACGAACATTTATGTTAATAAAGCTCAAATAAAATATTAATATTAGTTGAAAAACTTCAATTTAACGAAAATTAAAAATGTTGCCTTGGCAATATATATATGATAATTTATAATATATTAGACAATGTGAATTATTTACAACTATATTTAATTTTTAGAATATGTACTCTAGGGCATTTAAACAGTATATTAGAATATAATATTATATAAATGATATATTATTAATAATAGGCTATATATTTACATACAGTATATACTGTATTATATATTGATAAGGATGTTGGGTTGTGTAACTTACAATATCATAATGCAATATATTATATGTCAATTATTACATAAACAATTAATACTAATATGTCTGTTTGAATGAGGGATATACTATAAATATAAACAATATACTATTAATACATCAGACAATTTATTGTGGAACTGACACAAGGGGGAGACAGCATTCTGGCCAGACGTGCATGTTTATTGGCCAATTAATCAATCCGTCCGATAAATCGCTCAATCACTGTACTATGACAGTGATCATTAAAGTGCATTTTTACGAACGGCCCCAGCTTTTTAATGTGCATTAATGTGGAACAGACAAACATGCGAGAATCAAGAGCAAAGGTGTGGTATCATTCTATTCCTGCTCCAAATGACACGCATTTCACACAAAACGTGTCGGCTGGAGGCTTTAGCGCGTGCACTAGTGCGTTACACCTGAATGGGAGTGCATGCACTTTGGGAGTGTGTGTGTGTGTTTGCGATGCAGCAGGAGTGTGAAGCTGTGTGTGGCTGCACGCGAGCCCGGCTGTCTCAATGTTGTCAGGCAGTTTTTGATCACATGACCATCAGCCGGAGGCGCTGCAGAATGACTCACTACAGTACTGGAGCACTACTGGAGAAAACAGAGAGAGAGAGGAGGGGAGATGGAACGAGGCCAGTGGCAGAGGAAGAAGATGAGGAAAGATGGAGGAGCAAAAAAGAGAGGATGAGAAGAGGGAAGTCATGCAGGAAGCGATATAGACGATTAAGGAATGCATAGATGGGTGTGTAGCAAAAACTGCTTTGGTTATATTGGTCAGCACTCCATTGTGATTTCCAATGACTTTAGTAACAAAAAAAGAAAAAGCAATTAATTAAATAAGCCAAGTATGACTACGGAATATGAAGATTTTTCCAGGGAAAAATGGAAAATAAACAGGGAATGAAGCTTTCAAGCCCTACAAAATATCATAATGTGGCCCATAAGACTGTTGTAAGAAACTTACATTTAAGTTGCTATTCAATTAAAATCTTGAAAATCCAGATTCATTTTAATTCAATAGTTCAAGCACTCCTCAGTGAGTTCACAAGAAATGACATAAATAATAGTGGTAACTGGCAACCTGTGGTGGCGAAATACTATTGGGTAAATTGGCAGCGTGCGATATCACACAGACCAAAGCAATAACACACATTCTGTGAACTCAGCATGTTTCCTAAATATCTGCAAACATATTATGGTATTTTATGCTTTAGTACAGTCAAAAACTTACATACAGCACCTTTAAGGTTGAAATCGACTAGTCGCTGATCATGGCCTATAGAGGGCGCAACAGGATAAGAAATCTCTGAAGTCCACTTTTACGCTCCGTTGCCAAACAGTAAAAATTACAAATAAATGCATACTCAGAGCGCTCCACAACATACGTTTGATTATACTATCTGGATGCTTAAAATTTATTGGGTGAATGCACATTTTAAACAGCTTATTGTACACGCAAGTTAATCGCCGTTCTAAACTAATGCGCAGCTGCATTGTAACACACACACAATCGTTCTCTCGCTAGTGCATAATTAATTCATCGTGCATTCATATAAATGCTTTACTGTGCTAAATATCTTTACTGTGCTACTTTATCTGTATCTTATTTAGAACAAGCAGAAATCTGTGAAATATAACGACCCAAAGACAAAAGAACTGATAAAAATAAGCTATATATTGATCATTTAATTCCAATCCACAGCACAACTAGTGAACCTTGCAACTGCAAAGTGTCTCTAAAAGTAAGTAAGAAGGTGAGAAGGTGTGTGTGAAAGAAAACGAAAGTCGGCGTGTGTACACACCACAACACCGTCAACTTGGCAGTGCGCCTAAAAGGTGATGTCACCTGCCGAAGGTCGGACTCGGGTGGAAGAGTACCAAGCGTTCCCTGCCAGCACAACTCGGCTGACTGAGAAAGTTCAATAATAGCTTCATAGTCCTGGTTTTAAAATATGTTTACACCTATCGTTCTTCATTTACCTTGACCGATTATGCAAGTGAAGCTTAGCTGTTAGATAAGGTATTAAACTGAGGCTATTGATTGACAGGGGATAGTGAGAAACTAGGCCTAAGCCTCCGTCCTCTTCGTCCTGCCCGTCTCCCACAGGCCCCTCCCGCTTCGGTACAAGGTGTTCCACCTTAATTGGATGAAAGCTAAATCCAGACATGACATCATCACCTGGGGATTATGGTCTTTTAGGAACATGGCCTCCCGTGAAGGCCTGCTGAACCTGGGTCACCTATAGGGCAAACACGAATGCTGCCACATTTACACATGTGACTTTGTTGTCAACTGTTTTTTTTACTTGTAAGTCCTTCTGTTGTATTATTTTTTATTTAGTATTTATTATTTTATGCATTTATTATTTTTATGTGATATTTCACACAGATAAGATTGATAAGATGAAATTGGAACAGTAATATTTTAAAAAATATGGTAGCACTTTATTTTACAGTCCTGTTCCCCATGTACTTACAGTAATAACTGGGAAATAACTAGGTACTAACCCTGATGCTACCCTTAAACCTAACCTTAACCCATGTAGTTACCTTATATTAGCCAGTCCTTTCTTAGCTAAGTACACTAAGTACACGTACTGTAAAATAAAGCGCAACCAAAAATATAGTTTATTCAGGTATTCCACACATACAGAAATTGACACAATGCAAATAGTATACAGTACATATTACAAACTGAAGGAATATAAAAAATATTATGGTAATATGCTATTCCGAAAATAGCCGGAGACACCTCGAAAATCCCATCAGCCAGTGCTGTGGGGTTGTAATTAGGTACCCACTTATTACTAAACCAAGCAATAGAGGTTCAGTAATAGTTAGGTGTCACCCACAAAGACGAGCATGTCAAATAGCTACATTTTCCAAGAACCACAGGATGTTCCCAAGGTCACTGTAGAGATCTGTAACATATTCGGATCGTTTGCATGCTGTGACATCAGCAGAATTTACAAAATGGCACGTTCAATTACTATTTATATCACCTGTCGGGGGCCTGTGTGGATACATATATCTTGAGACCATTGACCCGTGCCATTCAGCTCTCTGGCTCATTTATTATAATTTAACTTGTTGACAAGTATGTCCTCTGTCCTTTTACACGTTCAGTGAATCAGGATATAGTCAACAGTGTCGGAGTCAATTTTCGCATGAAAATATATATTCAGGAAGCTACAGTATAGGAAGCTACTTACTGCTTTTTAGTATGCTGATGTGATTTCAGATGTCGCATATATTTTAGCATACATATCGCTCAAGTCAAGTCACATTTAAGCATTTAGCATTTTATACAACACAGAATGATTCAAAGCAGCTTCACATTAATGAACAGGAATAGCATTGTTAATGTTGTAAAATTAATAAATTTAGCAGTAAAGCAGCTCTTTTGAGTTGATTCAGTGTTATTTCAAATCAGTTCAATAATTGTGTCGAATGCACCAGTTCATCAACTATGAAGCAAGTTCAATTCAGCTATAAGCTGCTCTATGGAAGGCATTAGTGTAACTATTCCACTCAGGTCAGTTCAAAGTCGATTCCATTCAGTTCAATAAGTGTCGATGATGCAAAGTTATAGTGTCTTTATTCAGCTCAATAACACTGAAGGAGGAACCCATGCATCATTGGTGCCAGAATCTCATTGAGACTTGGGAGTGGGCACATTTCTTTTCGCCATTAACCTGGCGGTGAGTTTTGCATGGAAAAACATCGTTAGAAAATAGAAAAATGTATTAGTGTCTACATGTGAAATTTTGAAAAGGTGATGTTCTACAAAGAGTGCAAGATAAAGCCCTGGATAATAACCTTCCTTTCTTAGGCCATTGTTCAATCCGTACATCCTTCAGATCTGTCTATTCGGCTGTCTTCGCTCTGGGCGACCACATAGCCATCTGTCAGTACCAGCTCAATGGAACATTCAGCAGCACAGATTACCATAAGCCAAGACTGTTCGTGGCTGCAAAGGAAGACCTGCTTCTGTACCATTGCACTCTATCTTCTGTACTTAACACTGACCCATTTACAATGCAGGCCAGGCAATTGGCGCATATGGTGCCTTCCGCTGATGTAATCTGAAATGGTCCGAACACAGAGCCATGGGGGACCTCGGGCATTATCTCAGTGTGGATGTGTGCTACCCATCCATTTATACCCTCTTTCACTTCCTTCCTTTATTCGCGCTTACAATGGACCACACTGGTGGCCTTTGGTTGCGGTGATGTCGTTACTTTCAGCTCACACATTGATGCCACAACTTCTGGCAATGGCAGCTGTCCAAAGCAGTGGGGGGGATGTAGGGGGTAGGGTTTTGTCTGGATCCAGTGCTAGTCGCGTAGACGATTTGCACGTGCTCAGCTAGCGCTCTGTCAGTGGCCACACTAAAGATTATGATGTCATGCTCATCCAATAACAAAGAGTTTCCTGAATTCGTCCCCCATCCCACCTCCCCCCACTTACACCCAGATAGCTCCAGCTTTATCCAGGACTTGCATTAATCACAAGTGTTATCCTCTTTACTGAGGGAGATAATAAAAGCCACACAGCCTCTAGGCTCGGCAGTGGAAAGAAATAGGGAATGCAGCGAAAGAGTGACCCAAGAAAACAGTGCCACTCTGTTAAGTTCAGATGGAACTGGTTTTGGCCAGAAAATCTGAATCAAAGTGCCTATTTTTTTTTGTTTTTTTGGAAACAAATAGCACACAAAGGCCCAGAGCTGACATGCTCAGTGCCAGTACCATACTAAAACATATGAAACATATTTTGAAGAAGTACCCAAAATATCAAGAGATGACGAATAGTTAAATCATACCATGACATAATCTAAATAATCGATATAAATTAAATATAGTTTAAAATGCAATTTGCCAAATTCGTAGAAACAGACCTTTTGTATTCATGTTGGTTTCGTCTGGTTATGAAAAACCATGACTCTAAAAATATAAAATATAACAAAATATTTACACACATCTTGAAATCTTAATCATTATTTTCAAAAAAAAATTTAAATATATTTTCAAGGCATCTAATTACCTGTTTTATGTTTTCTGCATGATTCTTTGTTCAAATATTGTTGTTGTTGCTTTTTAAAGAAATATTAATAGAGGACTATGCCAGCCTACTTAATATAGTTTTCTTTTCAACAATTGAATTATTTAATTTTTTCTTCATTATTATATCAGGACAGTTGCATCGCCCTGACATTTCTCAGTTTTTGCCACCCAAAAAATAAATCTATCCATCCATCAATCCATCCATCCCAGCATCTTCAGCTACAGGCAGGGGACACATTGGACGGATGGCCAGACGTTCACACTCTCATTTACACCTACAGACAATTTAGTGTCTTCAATTTCACCCAAAAAATATCAAAATGAATTTAAATTCCGAAATGAAAAACATTTATTCATGTATTCAAGTCATTGTAAGTGTGAATTGTGTAAATGAATAGATGGGACAAAAACGTGCATCTAAAAAAACTGTTGAAATGGGTTACAAAGAGCATGCAAACCTTCTAATTGCAAGCCAAACCGGAAAAGCACGAGTTGCATGCATGACAGGTGAACCTGAATATGAGGAACCGACAAAATAGATTTCATGAACCAACAATCAAAAAGGCAAGCTGTATCTATGCCCTCAAAAAAAAGGGTGTTGTGTCATGGTGGCTTTGAGACCATGACTTTGCTTTCAGTGTTCATCATTGGTGTGACATAAAATTGCACTGCATTCCCTATGCGGCATAATTTTTCCGGAAAGCGAGGTGCGCAATAAAGGCGGATCAGTTTTCGCCATTGACCTCATCAGTAATGGCATGAAGTTTTACGTGACATCTGTCGGTTGGACTTCCCCCTAAGAGTTCTGTCAGTTTCACAGAGTGCCTAAAAATATAAAGACTTGGCATGCCAGTCGGGCGGGAAAAATGATGTCATATTCGATGTAGAAGCAATGGAAAACTCAAGTCTCCAATTTCAGAGCCTCTGATAACCAATAAACCTACAGTGGTCCTCCAAATTTAGAAATGAGCAATCTGGGAAGATCAAGGGTAGCTGCTCGCCAGAAAACATCAAGACCCCTGATTTGTGTTCTCAAACATTTTCTTCGACTTCATACTGACTGTTGACTACTACACCTAATTACAAAATCATTTTACATAAGGAAGTGTCAAATACTATATGTGCATATGAATTTGCCTGCAGATGTTGCAAGTTGGCGCCAAAAGCAGGGACTCTTTAATGGGTGTTCACAAGTAAACATTAGTTCATTATAATATTGTGAAGCAACATGGTTGTGAAGTCCACACAAAACGAACAGCATTGTAAACTGAACCCTTCAAAGGCTCGCAGCTGTCCGCGTACAGACATCAACCGCCTTTGGATGTCACCGATAGTTCCCCAATTCCTTGATTACGTAAACTACCCACACATTCTCCCAAACACACGCTTGATACCTTGACCTTTCCGTTGGGTTGGAGGAGCTCGGTAACTGACACCTTGTCCTGCTGAAGCCTCCTCTTGACCAGTTTGGAACAGCAGACGTTGACGGCACCGTACACATGCGAGGCGTTGTACTCCGAGAAAGTCCGACTGTCGATGACCAGCAATCGCCCGGCTCCACGCTGGAGCAGCCCCGCCAGGCGCTTGATATCCATGACGCTGCGACGACCCTTTTCCCCCGCCATGGAGGTACCCAGAAGCCCTCTCTGGATGAAGGTTGCTCACGACGACAACCAAGGCAGAGGCGGTGGATCAGTGATAATAAAATCACTGACACGGGTCACAAAGAGACATCAAGGTGCGCATGGTGTCTGAGGAAAAACAAAAGCATCAGTTTTTTTATTGTTTTATTTCAATCATAACTGGGCAAGGTGAAACTCGTTTCGTTTTTTTTTTTGGTCACATAGGATTGTTGTTCCTTGTAAGGAAAAACTACACAGGACAAAAACAAGTTTGTTCCTGCTTGTTCTTCTTGTCAGGATATGAGCAAACATTACCTGTCAGAGCAAACATGTGAAAAAAATGATTGATAATGATGTACAGAAAATTTGTTTTTACATTTTACTTGACGGTTAAACCACATGTAACTTTTAAAGTCATTCAATTGAAACATTTCTTGTAAATGGTATAAGAGTCCTGTTAAGCCTTTACAATAATGTCCCATAAGTTGACATTAGTTAATGCTGAGTTTCACAAGCATTCGTGAATGTGGACTGAGACACACACACACACACAAAATAAATATTTACTTGCATGTCATGCAACCATTAACTGACATCAGAGAAGCAGAAGCTCAAACGCGCTGCGTAACACGAGAATGAACCTCATTGGTTCTTGCTAAAGCTCAAACGTGCTGCGTAACACGAGAATGAACCTCATTGGTTCTTGCTAAAGCTCAAACGTGCTGCGTAACACGAGAATGAACCTCATTGGTTCTCGCTGAAGCTCAAACGTGCTGCGTAACACGAGAATGAACCTCATTGGTTCTTGCTAAAGCTCAAACGTGCTGCGTAACACGAGAATGAACCTCATTGGTTCTTGCTAAAGCTCAAACGTGCGGCGTAACACGAGAATGAACCTCATTGGTTCTTGCTAAAGCTCAAACGTGCTGCGTAACACGAGAATGAACCTCATTGGTTCTTGCTAAAGCTCAAACGTGCGGCGTAACACGAGAATGAACCTCATTGGTTCTTGCTAAAGCTCAAACGTGCTGCGTAACACGAGAATGAACCTCATTGGTTCTTACAGAAGCTCAAACGTGCGGCGTAACACGAGAATGAACCTCATTGGTTCTTGCTAAAGCTCAAACGTGCTGCGTAACACGAGAATGAACCTCATTGGTTCTTGCTAAAGCTCAAACGTGCTGCGTAACACGAGAATGAACCTCATTGGTTCTCGCTGAAGCTCAAACGTGCTGCGTAACACGAGAATGAACCTCATTGGTTCTTACAAAAGCTCAAACGTGCTGCGTAACACGAGAATGAACCTCATTGGTTCTTACAGAAGCTCAAACGTGCGGCGTAACACGAGAATGAACCTCATTGGTTCTTGCTAAAGCTCAAACGTGCTGCGTAACACGAGAATGAACCTCATTGGTTCTTGCTAAAGCTCAAACGTGCTGCGTAACACGAGAATGAACCTCATTGGTTCTCGCTGAAGCTCAAACGTGCTGCGTAACACGAGAATGAACCTCATTGGTTCTTGCTAAAGCTCAAACGTGCTGCGTAACACGAGAATGAACCTCATTGGTTCTTGCTAAAGCTCAAACGTGCTGCGTAACACGAGAATGAACCTCATTGGTTCTTGCTAAAGCTCAAACGTGCTGCGTAACACGAGAATGAACCTCATTGGTTCTTGCCCATTAAGCGAACATGCTTGAGCTTCCATTTATCACAACTGATGTGTGAGTTGATGAAAGTTTATATGTGAATAAAAGCCTAAATTAAATCTGTTCATCATATAAAGCGAACGAGCCTCTTCAGAAAATTTTGACTAAACCGCTTAATTCATATGGATTAGTTTTACGATCTCTTTATGAACTTTTAGAAGCGTCAAAGTTCTAGTTGAGTAGCTGTCAATGGAGTGACAGAAAGCTCTCAGATTTCAATAAAAATATCTTCATTTGTGTTCCGAAGATGAAAGGAAGTCTTACGGGTTTGGAAGGACATGAGGGCGAGTAAATGATGATGACATTTTTATTTTAGGGTGAACTATCCCTTTAAATCTGTCAGACTGTATGCATTGTCAGCATTGTCATAAATGCATTTTATTAGCGGCGCTATAAAATGCATAAGAGTAAACTAACGTAAACTTCTAGATTAACTAGACTTAACTAGACTAGATTCTACAGTCAGAAGCTTGCTTAGCTAATTAATTCAATTAAATCACATGTTAATAGCTAGCAGTCTGAATAAGAAGAATTCTAGATTAATGGCAAAAACGTTTAAAGCTAAATGTATCGCTTCCTCGGGTATTGAGGTTTGCTACCGCCACAGTGCAAAAACACATGTTAGGTCTGCACAATGATACAGTGCACTTGCAATTCATTGGCCAAGCATTCACGTCTGCATTTGCGTAAGTTTCTGGCCTTAACGACACTAATGAAACAGGAACCACCTGCGTTAGGGCAAACTAAGCTCTGGGAGCATGAAAGCCAGCTGCAGCCCAAACAACATCTGCTGTCACACTAAAATCTTCAATAAATTCATCAAGTGCCCCCTCTCATTTATCGCCAGTGATCATAACATCAATTCTTAAATGCTCATTTAGATCCCAAATGCTAAAGTTACTGGAGAGTTACTTAAAAGGTATCGTAACACATCTTCTATGATAATTATACAGTATAGTTCATTTACAATACCTTTACCATAGCCAAAATGCCATAGTCACTACTGTTTATTTACATTTCTAATGCCATTCTAGCATGAAAGGCTGTATTCTTCGGAAAAAAATGTAATAATAAAAAATGACACATTATATAGGCCTAGTTAAATTCTTAAAATGACAATAACAACTATTTACAATCCTTCAGTTTAGTATTTGATAGAAAGGTGATGCTACTGTTAAATTGTAAGAAATGTATATTTAGGTAATGTTTTAAAATACTGTTTATTATACCCTTGTAGATTCGTTTAATCATTCATTTGTAATTCTTACCTTTTAGTTTGAGACTATAATGTTCCAAATAAAAATAATCTGATAAATATCCTTCATTTTAAGATATTTAATTCACTGTATTATACAAAAACAGTCATTACTACATTGATATTTAATATTTAAAACATGTTTTATCAAATTGTGAGCAACATAACTATATTATGATAAAGTTACCATAGTTTAACTGTATTTTGTGTAAATCTATGATTACCATCAAACTAATGCGTCCATAATGAAGCTGTAGGCTCATACAATTATGTTTTAAAGTATTTTATGAATGGCAATACTGATTCTAGCTCAGCAGATCTTTATCGGAAATATGCGATACATTACATACGGACCGTGTTTATATTACAGCCAGAGAGGATGTGACGTTAGGAAACTGAACCAAAACAGATTATGTAACAAGACTGGAAAACATGCCATTTATAGCCACGGCTGCAAGGATCATATATAGTCTTTTCAGTAATCCTGTTATTGCAGAGGCACATTTAGCCTAAATATTCCACTTGGCAGACTGAAAACAGTTTTATATGTTCAATGTACGTGCATCTGTGTTGGAGGAAGGCATCTGTGAGGGAGGGAGAGGAATTGTTTATGACTGTGTATGAGTGGGGTGATGTGTTGATCAGGCCTGAAAGAGCAGGAACCGCTTGAGTATGCAATGACCTTCTGAATGCTTCAATCTCCAAACCTCTCAATCCAATCTCTCACTCCTTTACATTATGCAGAGCAAAAGACTAAACCGAGCGCCAGTCGAGGATGAGGGAAGTATTCGTTTGCAGCAGCAACACTGCAGTGGGTTCATGTAATCTTATGAATAGAAAGCCATAACTACATTGCAGCAAAACACACAGCCTAGTTCAGCTGAGAAAAATGGTTGTGGTCGCGACCCATGCAGTCCAACACTTTACCATGATTACCGTAGTTACTATTATGTAACCGTTTCATTCTAAAAGGAAAGTCGACCCAAATATCCTGTCATCATTTATTCACCCTCATGTCATTAGCTATGTTTCCATCAACCTATTTTTTCGCCTAAAAATGCTGCGTAAATGCCAAGATGTACATCAATTCCTAAAATATGCATAAAAAATTTATGCAATAAATTGAGGTAGATATTTTTTATCCGATAAGAAGTACAATGGAAACACATTAACCACATAAATCCGTCGCAAAGCAACACAAAAAAACCTCATGTGACTTTGCCTCAACATGATGTGATTGGATAACTGGACTAACCAGCGGACCAATCGCATCTCAGATGTTAGTTTGGTCGTTCTGAAATGCCTGAGCCAAAGTCTGTCATCAAAATGGTTGGGTAACTGACCTCTCAGAACGGTATAGCCTAACACGTTTGCGTTCCCAATCACCAGGCATCCGGCTCTGAACGCAAGATAACATGACAGCTAGCGCTGGGCGCCGGTGTGATGATATATCGTTACCACGGTATACAATGTCTATCGTTAAAGAATGAGAATACATTTCTGTACTCATTTTAACTGCATGTTACATAAACCTATTGTACCTGCAAAACAAATTATTTGTTTCATTCATATTTTTTAGTTATTGTATTTGTTTGAAATTTGCTTCATTTTTTTCTTATTTTTAATAACACGAATAAGATCAAATAACACAAAATAACTATATTGTGATATATATCGTTATCGTAACATAAAATGTATCATATTGTGAAATAAGAATTTGGTCATTTATTGATTTCCACGGCCCAAATTATTTATGATTTGCATAAAAAGAGCCACAGAGGCTTCCCCCATTGAATCAACTTCCATTTTTATAACATATATTTTGTGCTAATTTTCCAGGAAGTGAGCGATTCTGTTCTCCTCAACACATGGAATGGAAACGCCGCTTTATTCAAAAAAAAATTATGCGATATTGCAATTTTGCACATAAGTTAAATTCGCAACTTTGGATGGAAACCAAGCTATTCTGTATGACTTTCATCTGAAGAACACAAAAAGATGTTTCAGCTGTTTATGTACATAATGTTGTTTCAAAATATCTTCCTTTATGTTTCACAGTCATGCAGGTTTGGCTTTATGATTTTACAGAAGTAACAGTTACTGTAATTGGAACCTATAATTAACATTGTTAAAAAAGAAAAACACATACAAATATCATAGTAGATCAT